TGTTTGGGGTAAAGCGAGGGGCGCGTGTGGGGTAAAAGGGGGTGTGCGGGTGCCGTGCGGGGCAAAAGGGAGCCCGCGTGTCTCTGTGTTGCCCAGGCTACGCTGCAGGGCCTGTTCACAGGCGCGATCCCGCTACTGACCGCCACGGGAGCTTTGACCTGCTCCGTCTCCGACCTGGGCCGGTTCACCCCTCCTTAGTCAACCTGGTGTCCCGCAGCTCCCCGCGGGTCACCATATTGATGGCGGCCTTAGCTTGGACGCCCGCTCGGCACAGCGCCCTGCAGCCCAGAACTCCTGGGCTCAAGCGATCCGTCGGGCTCAGCCTCCCCGGCAGCTGGGACTACAGGCGCGCGCCACCGCGCCCGGCGATGGAGCGGCTGCATCGGAGACCTTACAGGGCTGACGGCCCTCGCCGGCGTGACGTCATGGGGCGGGGCGACTCTGACGTCACGGGCGGGGGAGGGATCTCCCGCAGCCCCTCCCGGCGGTGATGGGTATGGGGAGCGGTGACGTCATTAGGCGCGTGTGGGGGGGAGCGGTGACGTCACGCGCGCCGCGGTGCACGCCGGGAGCCGCCGTGAGGGCTTTAAGGGCGGGCAGGCGCCGCCATCTTCCTCTCGGCGCCGCGCAGCCATGGGCCACCAGCAGCTCTACTGGAGCCACCCCAGGAAGTTCGGGCAGGGCTCTCGCTCCTGGTCAGTGCCTCTCCTCGCGCTCCCAGGGCGGGGACAACCGCCTCCCTTCCTTATCCCCCTATCCCTTCTCTCTATATCCCCCCCTCACACCCACACCCCCCTCCCAGCCGCCATTACCCGCCCTGACGCGCCGCGCTCTCCTGTCCCCCTCACAGCCGCGTGTGCTCGAACCGCCACGGCCTCATCCGCAAGTACGGGCTGAACATGTGCCGGCAGTGCTTCCGCCAGTACGCCAAGGATATCGGCTTCATCAAGGTGAGCCGCGGGACGGCGCGGGGAGGTAGTGGGGAGCAGGGCCCCGCTGACGCCTCTCCCTTTCTTGCAGCTCGACTGAGCGCCCGGAGGATGAGGAGACGGCCAGGACCTGCCGGGGCGTCCCTGAGCCTCCCTGGCACATCCGCAGCGTCCCGGCTCGGCCTCACTTAATAAATGCTCTCCCAACCCAACTGGTGGCGCGTGTTTGCCCTCTGTAAAGGTTCGAGTGGCTGCAGGGGTTCCTCTCCCTCGCCTGCCCTACAAAACCTGCTGGTCTCGATGGTGTTTGTTGGGGTGATGCCCCTGAGCCTTCAGGTTTGCAAACGCCGGGGATGGTCAGCTTGGAGTGGCTGGGAGAGGTGACCAGGCAGTCAGTCTGCTGGGGTATGGGTGCTGGTCTTGGAATTATGGAACGACTTTGGTGGGAAGGGACCTTAAAACTTAAAACCATGCCATGGGCAGGGACACCTTTCACCAGCCCAGGGTACACCAACCTGGCCTTGGACACTCCAGGGATCCAGGGGCAGCCCCAGCTTCCCTGGAGAACAGGTAGCAGGGTGCTGGCAGCAGCAGCACAGAGCTCAGTGGGAATTTATCCAGCTAACTGGGGGAAAAGCAGCTTCCTGGTTTAGGAACTCTGAAACTGAGGAAAGTTGTTATCATCCCCAGAGTTGCTGCCACAGCTTTGTTGCCAGGGGATTAAACCCACGGTGAGTTTACAGGGGAGGAACCAGCAAATCCTGGGACACAAAATTAGATTAATTCACAGATAAAACCTGATGAAAAAAACAAAGGGTGATTATGGATCTGCCTTGCTCAGCATTTCAGGTGGTTGGGCCTGAAATGGTTAAATCCTGGTTCTTAGTGGAAAACCATTCAGTGAGAAGGTTCTGCTCTAAAAAATAAGGAGATTTAGTTGCTCTGATGGTGGTTTTGGGGTTTTTCCCTCCCCTCAGTTACTTTTGATGGACATAAGGAGGTGACTCCTGTGGGGTGTGTTTTGTTTGGCTTTAGTGTGATCCTGAACAAATCAGAACACGCTAATTGCCCTTTTACCCAATTAATGAATTTCTGCAAAATTGCAGAGAAACACTAAATCAGTGAGTGAAGATGCAAAACGTGAGGGGAAATCCGTGTCTTCCTGTCCCCTCCAGTGTGTTGGGAGGCAGAAGGGTCAGAATGATTTAAATTCTCAGAGCTACACGAGCCATTTGAGCCTGGCAGGGAGTTTCACTTCATGGCAGACACTCAGATGTTTTTGTAAAAGCTTTTTCCCTACTCTATTTATCCCATTTTTTCTAACTCTATGGAGGAAGGGGTTCAAGACAACCAGTAATTCCCTTTTACCCTTATTGCTACCTTAACCAGGTATTTATTGCCTAATGCACAGTGAAGAGGAGGTGCCAAAACCTCGAATTTCCCGAGCTCATGGCGAAAATTCCATTTGGTTTCTCCCTAAAGCCGGTGGTTGCAGCCTCTGAAGGTTCACAGATGTGAAACCTGAACTTACTTTGGCTGCAAAATGATTTATAAAGAGCTGCTGGTTCCCCTGAAGAGCAGGTGAAATCAAACTGCTCTTCAAGGGCTTTGCATTAATGGGGAACAACTCACACAGGTTTTCCTGTAGGGAAATAACGTCGCCTACAAGGAAAAGGCAGGGATGCCTTGGGTTTCGGAGGGATGAGCCTCCGAGGGCTGAAATTGAGTTTATAAGGGATTTGGATCCCTGAAAAAAAAACCCCACTAAATTACACTGGATCACTCACCAGATAAAATCTGCGGTTGTTGGAGGCTCCAGGAGGGATTTGCAAGGCTTTGGGTAAAACACTGCCTTCCAAACTATTCCTCAGGCTGGAAAATGAGGCTCTCTGATGTGCTCAGGTAGGAGAGCAGGGTAATTCCTGCAGGGAATTTGGGACAGCACCGGAGCTGGGAATATTTGGTGATGCAGAGGGGGGGGTCTTGGGCTCCCTGAGATGGGATTTATGGCTGGGGAGGATCTTCAGGCTTTTTCCTTCTTCCAGCACCTCAAGGTGAGTTCCAGGTGCATCCCAATCACCTGGATCGGGATGTGGCTGCTCCTCTGCCCGGGGTTCACTTCCTCAGCTGTGAGTCCGGGATAACACTCCCTGCACAATGAAATAGGTTGAATATTCCCAATATTGATGCTCCTGAATTCCTGCAAGGAGCAAACTCCCCCTGGGGCTGCTCCAGCGTGTGTCAGCTGCAGGCAATGCTTGGAGCAGAGAAAACTGAGCCCGGAGCTGCTTATCATTCCAGTGCCAAGCTGAGGGAGAGGGAAGAGGATCCTCCAGAGGGTGGGAGCGGGGACAGGCAGCCTGAGAGGATGCAGGGAGTTTGTCCAAGCAGGCAGGAATTAGGGAAGCTAAAGCCCCGGTGGAATTAAATCTGGCCAGGGCCATCAAGGGCAACAACCAAAAAAAAAGGCTTTTTTAAAGTGCCTTGGTGGTAAAAGGACCATGGAAAATGTGGGAGCTCTTCAGAAGGAAACAGGGAGAGGGCTGGAGCCCCTCTGCTCTGGAGCCAGGCT